TATTTCTAGTGTCTCTTCTTATATAAAAGAATAAACTTTTGTGATTCTCCAGGCTCACTCTGGAAATTCTCAAAGTTATTTTCACTAATACGTAAAAGTTATCTTGGAAGTTTTAGTTTTCTACATTTAGGATACGATTTTGTGAATTGCGATAGTTTGCGAGAGCTGCCCCCCCCCCCAAAAAAAAAATACTGCAGACTGGGTGGCTTAAACAACAGAAATTTATTTTCTCAGTTCTGGAAGCTAGAAGTCCATGATCAAGGTGTCATGTCAGGAGTTGGGGTTTCTTTTGAGGCCTTTCTCCTTGGCTAGCAAAGGCTGCCTTTTTGCTGTGTCCTTAATGGCTTTTTCTCTGTGGGTATGCATCACTGATGTCTCTTCCTTTTCTTATAAGGATTTCAGGTATATTGGATTAGGGCTCTAACCTATCAGCCTTATTTTACCTTGATCATTTCTTCAAAGACCCTGTATCTGAATACAGCTATAGTCTGAGTTGCTGGGGGTTAGGACTTCAACTTATGAATTTGGGGGGAAATAATTGAACCCATAACAGGAAGGCAAAAATCAAAGAAATTTTGAGAGATTTGAATACTTTATTAAGATATAATTATTGATGCTAGAAACAATACTTGGTTACTTATTTTATCAAAGTGACAAAGATTTCAAAATAAATGTGGGGGGTAGTGAAATTGGAAAAAATGTTTAGCTGTTTGAAAACTGAGGAACCTTTGTTCCCTCCCCCTTAAATAATGAAAGATAATAAAAGCAATATAAAGCATTGAAAATTATTCTAATAAGACAGAATTTTTGCTGTCTAGCAGAGTCATAAGAAGTAAAGAATAATATTTTATATTCTAGGCGAAGGACGACATTTATCAATAAACCATGGGAACACACCCTTCAGAATTGAGTGAAGTTTGCTAAGACATTACACATATTATAGCTTTATTCAGAGTAAGCAAGGCAGATAGAATTCATTTGCCACATTGTCTTCCATTATGCTCTTTCGTATTCTGGAACAAACTGACTTGCTTCAGGATAGGTGTTATTGCTTCAGGTGGTTTTGTTTCAGAGGGTCCATGATATTCAGATGACTTTTATATTAATACTAAGGTGTTATCTTTGTTAAGATGCAGTTCATTATTACTCATTTTTAAATGAATCAGTATTTTAAAAATTTCTTAATATTAAACTCTACTCCACTAAAAATTTCTGCTTTTAACCTCTTAAATACTGAGAAGTTGTTTGGGGTCCTAAGTGTCCTAAAAGTAGAAAGGAGTTCAGAGACCGTCAAAAACGACTCCTTTTTCTTGTAAATCAAAAGCACGTGCATAGTTGTATCTTTGTCAGTACTGCTCCTTAATAGAAGTACAATTTACAGAACTGTAAATAGCTCAGTGACACCTTTCAGGTGGAGATATTCCTGAAGGGTGCTCAAATCAGGACTTAGTGGGGACGGGGGGGTGGGCAGGGAGAACAAGGGGTCCTATTTCAAAGTCTTCACAATTTTCTCTGACAATGTAAAAAGTCTTTTGTAAACAGTAAGGAGAATGTAAACTAGCCCTCCTAAATATGACAACATTTGCTATATAAAACTGTAACAAATCAGATTATTGGAATATACAGACATTCAGATCATTATTACTTAATGGAAAATCCCGGGGTGGGGTGCAGAAATCCCCATATAGATATTGTATATAGGTTTTATTTCAAGTTCAAACTCTGCTTGTTTGGTAATGGTTCATGAAGAGACATATTGAGGACTTTGAGAACACTTTTGGGATGTAGAAGAGTGCAGAATTACTTAGAGTTGTGGTATAGGTAGAAGAGGCAGTGCCCTTTTCGTAATGTTAAAACAAGGCATCACTAATCTGTGAAGGGGGAAATTACTCAACACCTGAAAATTGGGGAGAAAAAGTCAGTTTAAAGAATATCCACTAAAATAAGTTATAAAGGGATTCAAGAATTGAATGTTAAAAAGTTCTTAAGAAAATAATTCTCTGATTTGAACATGGGAAAGCTTTGGGGCTCCTGACTGCCTCAGTTGGAAGAACATGTGACTGTTGATGTTAGTGTTGTTAGTATGATCCCCAGGCTGGGTATAGAGATTAGTTAAAAAAACAAAACACATGAACATGGGGAAGGCTTTCTCAGGATTATGACAGTGAAAGTCTTCATAAAGGATGAGATAAATACATTTGGTTAAATGGGAAAAAATCTATGAGTCAACATTAAATAATTAAGAAAAATGGCTGTAGCAAATACAGAGCCTGTGCATGTTCTCTCTCTCTCAAAAATAAACATTAACCCCCAAAAAGATGCTTAATAGATAAAGGACATTAATAGAAATTCCCAAAGAGAAAATTCATATTACTGAAATCTGTGCAAAAATTATTACTCTCTTTAGTATCAAAGAAATGCATATATAAATGCAAGAGAAGAGTAATTAAATGGAAAAGATCAAGAGTTATTATTTTCCTATTACAGTGTAACAAACTAAGTATCGATAGGAGAAAGCTAATGGACCAGCTACAAGATGAGGAAGTAATGTTACCATATCATTATTTTTCAACCCACAGTGAATTCATAGTGTTAGTACTGAACATCAAAAAAGTAATCCAGCCATACATTATGTGCTTCCTATTGGATGGACAACCCCCATCATCACCTTTTAGTAGTTTTGTTTGTTGAAACAATCAAACTTTAATTAAAGCCTCTCTAGATTTAACTACTGATTTACAAGAAGTACAGAAGACCAAGAAATATGTGAAGAGAAACTTTGGGGATACAATCAGCAAAATTCAGTCTGTAAGAAGCTGCATAACCCTAATAACTAGGTTTTATAAATTTTTTGGAGTAGTAATTAATTAAAAGGAAATTAAGAAAAATAATTTTTGGTATTTTCCTCATATCCCTCAGAAACCCATTCATGTACTATACTTCTTCCTCTTGATTATAGAGAGCAAAATCACATTTTCGGGATCAATGAGTAACATCTTGCTAAATCTTTTGAGAAAGTGAAGGGTTTCGTGTTGATTTATGAAATGACATATAGAAAAGATGTTATGTTGAATCACTGGTCTATTTCATATTAGATTTACCCTTTTAATCTGTTTTTAAAGGTTATTTTGGGGGTGCCTGAGTGGCTCAGTTGGTTAAGTGTCTGACTTCAGATTAGGTCATGAACTCATGGTTCATGAATTTGAGCCCCGTGTCAGACTCTGTGCTGACAGCTCTCTGTCCCTCTCTCTCCGAAAAATAAACATTAAAAAATTTGGAAAAAAAAAAGTTATTTTGGCCTTAGAGCATTCTTGGTACAGTGGAAAATTTAGTCACATTAATGTTCAGAACTCTAAAGTTCTTATTAGTATGTTCTAAGCTAGATAAATATTACTTTATATTACATATTCATGTTAACAAATATCTGGTGAGTTCTTTTGCAAATAAAATATGCTTGGTAGTAGGGAATAATCAAGGAAATTAAGATGTGGTTCCTTCCTTAAGAATTTTTAATTTGTAGCAGCCATGGTCAAAATAATACAAGATGAAGAACTAGTCAACTAAGGAGTAGTGGGAGTCAGGAGTAGGATGACAGAAATATTTTATATTTGGAAATAATTAGCCTTAAGTTAACAAGATTGAGCTTTGATGTTTTGATATGTAATACCCTAAGTACTGTCCCAGCAATACTTTTTTTTTTCCAATAGTACTTTTGATAATAGATACTCTTTCCATTTTGAGAAACAAAAGAGAAGAAAGGAAGGAGCTTTGAAAAAAAATTTTTTTAGGCCTATTTATTTTTGAGAGAGAGAGAGGGTGCAGGTGAACTGGGCAGGGGCAGAGACATAAGGGGACAAAGGATCTGAAGCAGGCTCCACCCTGACAACAGAGAGACCAATGTGGGCCTCAGACTCAGGAACTGTGAGATCACCACCTGACCTGAAGGCAGACGTTTAACCAACTAAGCTACCCAGGCGCCCCTGAATTTTTTTTTTTTTTTAATATGTTCCACACCCAATGTGGGGCTTAAACTCACAACCCTGAAATTAAGAGTCATGTGCTCTACTGACTGAGCCAGCCAGGTAACCCTCTCCCCGGTAATCTCTTTTTGAAAAAGAACTTTATTATCTTTACTTCTACTAAATTTGCTTAATCAATTTTTAAATTTGTTTGACTGGATTTGGGTTTTATTGATAAACAGTTGCCAATGAAGAGCTGTGTCATCTTATTTTTATACAGATGTATTGAGAGAAAATAACTTTGTATTATCAAGTGTTTACTCAAGAAGCTCTTTTTAAAAAAATATAATTTATTGTCAAGTTAGCTAACACACACATGTGTGTATACAGTGTACTCTTGGCTTTGGGAGTAGATTCTGGTGATTCATCACTTACATGCAACACCCAGTGCTCATCCCAACAAGTGCCCTCCTTAATGGCCATCACCCATTTTCCCTGTCCCCACAACCCCCATAACCCTCAGTTCTCTGTATTTAAAAGTGTCTTATGGTCTGCCTCTCTCTCTGTAACAAAGTTTTTTTTTTTTCCCCATTCCCTTCCCCTATGGTCTTCTGTTAAGTTTCTTAAATTCCACATATGAAGAAGCTTTAACATTTACTTGTTTGTTGCCATTCTTTAAAAAATGGATATTCTTAATTTCTTCTGAGCTGTCTTTTATACCTTACATTCAGTTTTTACATTATTTTCAGTTTAAAGTATATTGGGATAAAAAAGATCTAGAGTAGATAACACCACTTTTGTGCAAGCCAGTAGAAAGATCTACTAACTTCTGAGATGTTGCTTATCCTTATGGAATCATTCAGTGGTCCATCTCATTTCCATAGTGATTACTAAGAATATTTCAAGTCATTTTATATCATTGAATGCTGAATGGTAGGTCTAATTAAATTAGATGATTAAGAGAAAATCAAATGGCATATTTGATGCTCAGAAAAATGTCATGTAAATCTTGAATTTCTTTACATTTTATTTTTATTACAGATTCTGAAGAATATTTCTGTGTGAAAAGAATTTTCTCAGGTGGAGATCAAAGCTTTTCACATTACTCTAATCCTCAGGTAACAGTAGTCATATAAATAATTGTGAAGCTCAAATAATTCTGAATAATTTTTAAAGCTCATATTAATGTTCTTTGTATGTTACAAAGCCTTAAGTTTTTTTTGCTGTCAATTATACAGAACTTTTCTGATCCAGTTGTTAAGTTTTGTTTCAGGTGCTTAGGAGAGATACACTCTGTTAAAAATACAAACACATAGTAGAAATGTGTCTTAAGTTATATATAATATATGTTCCCTTCGACTAATCTAATTATTTTTTAAATTTAGAACTGTGGGCCACCAGATGACTTTAGATGCCCTGATCCTTCAAAGCAAATCTGGACTGTGAATGAAGCTCTAATTCAAAAATGGCTGAGCTATCCCTCTGGAAGATTTCCTGTGGAGATAGCCAAGTAAGAAAAACATTTTACCTACACAAAACACACAAATACGACCACTTACCTCCATGGTAGTGTATCCTGTATTTAGAAGTTTTTATTTAAATATATCCCAACTGGTCTATGTACATAAGTTTAAATGTCTAGAATTTCTATACTAATGGCTATTTTAAGAGATCTCATTTATGTATAAGTTGCAATTCTTTCATGTATGTAATATTAAATGATAACTTAAATAGTAAGCTTACCCACTTTAGGATTGGGTTTAAAACAATGTTACTTTTAGTTTCCTAGTGGTCACTGTCTTTTAACTTTTATAATCCCAAAAAGATTTGAGTGTTACTTCTATCTTCAATATTTTGCTTATAGATGAATTTGTTTAGTACTTAGAGTTTGTTTTTGTTGCAGGTGGTGTTGGGTTTTGGGATAAGGGACTATATCTGATAATGTTTTTTAAATTCTGGATTGTTTTCCCAAATGAAAATTTTTCTTATAAGCCCAAAGAGTAGACTTCAGAAAAATAGCATCCCAGATTAGACATCACCGTGTGTAATTAAAATGAAATGTGTATGTTTATGTAAAAAAAAAATGTTTTTTAAAGAACATCAGTTTTTTGTCTATGGTCATAACCACCCTGACTGTGCCTGATCTTATTTGATTTCAGATGCTAAGTAGGGTTGGGCCTGATTAGTACCTGGATAGAAGACCTCCAGGAAATACCTGGTGTAGGCCTAAAACAAACAAACAAACAACCAAACAAAAAACAAAAAAAACTAGACCATCAGATTTGTTGATGAATCAGAGGATGAGATTAGGGTAAAACAGTAAACATTTATTAAGTATTAATTAATCTTTAGTAATTTATAAAATTCTAATTTCTTCTAATTGAGTATTGGTTAGAGGAGTATTCTGTGGCATTAAATATTTTTATTAATAAAAAAGCGGGGTTCAGGGGCACCTGGGTGGCTCAGTCGGTTAAGCATCTGTTTTCAGCTCAGGTCATGATTTCATGGCTTGGGAGTTCAAGCCTTCTTGCGCTCTGAGCTCTCAGCACAGACAGCATGGACAGCTCAGAGCCTGGAACCTGCTTCTGATTCTGTGTCTCCCTCTCTCTCCCTGCTCCTCTCACTCACACTCTGTCTCTCTCAAAAATAAATGAACACTGAAAAAAGAGAAAATAAGCGGGGTGCCTGGGTGGCTCAGTCAGTTAAGCATCCTACTCTTGATCTTGGCTCAGGTCATGATCTCAGTAGCACATTGACCTCTGTGCTGACAGCCTTGCAGAGCCTGCTTGGGATTCTCTCTCTCCCTCTTCTTTGTCCCTCCCTTGCTCATGCTTACTGTCTTTCTAAAATAAATAAAAATAAATAAATAAAAATAAATAAATGTGTTTAAAAAAAGAAAATGCAAACATGTAGATTTCTCATTTTGTGATTTGGGGATTTTTAACTTTCTTTCTAGTGAAATAGATGGAACATTTTCTTCCTCTGGTTGTCTAAATGGAAGTTTTCTGGCTGTTAGGTAAGTGGTAATTCTTTGGTATGTGGAATTTTTCAAATTTATTATATTAAGTATTATATTAAAGAAGTGAAATAATTTTAAAGTTTTATTACTTTTCTTCTTTCTCTCTCTTCTTTATCTTTTTGTTTTATAGCAATGATGATCACTATAGAACAGGCACCAAATTTTCAGGAGTTGATATGAATGCTGCTAGGCTTTTATTTCACAAACTTATACAGCCTGATCATCCTCAGATATCTCAGCAGGTTTGTTCTTAAAGTATTTTATATTTGTGTTATGTAGCCTGTTGAACTTTATAATCTATGTTTCTTTGTATATCTATAGCTATATTAACTTTACAGTTTCAAATGTCTCATTATGAAGTACTTTCTATGATTTTATTATATAAACTAACATAAGAATTAATAGGGTTTTATTTAAAGCATTTACCATTTAGCTATCAAATATTTGTAAAGCTTTCCAGATGTTTGAGTAGACCTTTAATTACTTAACATTACAATGTTGGTTAAGTCTTTAGACTTGCACACAAGATTTTTTTAAATCTCCTAGCAATCCTTTTAGGCGTTAATTTTCATTGTGCTTCAAAGTACAATCCGTGATTCATTGTAACATGCATTTTTTTCACCATTTCATGTTTGCTGTATTATAAGATTTTTCTTTTCTTCTTCTTTTTGGAAAGTACATTCATTTTAAATAAAGTAGGTTTTACTTTCTGTCAAAATATAGGTGGCAGCTAGTTTGGAAAAGAATCTTATCCCTAAATTGACTAGCTCCTTACCTGATGTTGAAGCATTGAGGTTTTATCTTACTCTACCAGAATGTCCCCTGATGAGTGATTCCAACAATTTTACAACAATAGCAATTCCCTTTGGTACAGCTCTTGTGAACCTAGAAAAGGCACCACTGAAAGTACTTGGTAAGAATTTTAGTGTTTTTTTCTTTTGTAACTTTTTTACTTTAAATGAAAATGCTCATAAGTTTTTAAGTTTTTTGCTGTCTGAAATTTTGTTGCCTTGCTTATTTGACACTCGTACTGAAAAATAAATACATTTTTCCTTTTATTGCTTTTTTTAGTTCTCTGATAATAGTTTTTAGAGGCAAAGTTAAATATTAAAATTTTAATCAAATGCAGCAGCAAAAACAGTATCAGGAAGATAAAAACTGTTTTCCTTCTTTACCTCCCTTGTTCCCTCGGTCTTACTATTAAAGAGGTAAAGGAGGAGGAACAATTAAAGCTGAACAAACATGGGTTAGTTAACCTCTTTGAACTCCATTAACTCTATTCCTAACATTTCTCTTAACTTGCTAATCTCCCCATGTTTGACTTTATTTCTCTGCATGTAGATGAAATTCTGCCACTCATCTGATCTTATTCTTCTGTTTCTAGACTCTAGTTTTTGGCCTGAAGTTTTCTCACCTTAATTTTTCAAATTGTATAGATTTCATCTCTGTTCCTGGCCATTAAAGTTTGCTTGCTATATTTAACCTAATACTCTCCTTATTGATAGTATTTGTCAGTTTGTGAAGCCGAGGTATATAGGAGTAATAAAATCGGTATGAGAAGTTTTAGGCTGAGAATGAGCAGAGAAAGTAGCAAGCAAGGAGTAGAATCCTGAATTCTGAGAGAATTCATGAATAAGAGGTGAAGCAGGGACTCACAAGAGTATTGCTTCCATGTTGTCAAAAGTTTTTATCATTCTTTGTGTCTGCTTTACAGGATTATGGTATTTGTAGTTAACAACTACAAATAGTGAATTTGGGGAAGGACAGACATGTTTGTTTGTTTGTTTTACATTTGTTTATTTTTGAGAGACAGAGTGAGACAGAGCATGAGCAGGGGAGGGGCAGAGAGAGAAGGAGACACAGAATCCAAAGCAGTCTCCAGTCTCTGAGCAAGCATTCAGCACAGAGCCTGACGCAGGGCTCGAACCCATGAACCATGAGATCATGACCTGAGCCGAAGTCAGACACTTAACTGAGTGAGCCACCCAGGCGCCCCAGGACAGACATGTTATACTTACATTGTTCTCAGTATCTGATTTTCAGGAGTACCTTGCATTTTAAAGGTGGTGCTTCACAGTATTTCAACTTTGTTAAGTTAAAAGATAAAACTTGGAAAGATACCAAATTGTTGGCATTTTAATGTGTTTAAAAATCACAATTCTGGGGGCGCCTGGGTGGCTCAGTAGGTTAAGCGTCCGACTTCGGCTCAGGTCATGATCTCATGGTCGTGGGTTCGAGCCCCGCATCAGGTTCTGTGTGGACAGCTGAGAGCCTGGAGCCTGTTTCAGATTCTGTGTCTCCCTCTCTCTCTGACCCTCCCCCACTCATGCTCTGTCTCAAAAATAAAGTATAAAAATTTTTTAAAGAAATAATCAAAATTCTGGGGCACCTGGGTGGCTCATTCGGTTGAGCATCCAACTTCAGCTCAGGTCATGATCTCATGGTTCGTGGGTTCAAGCTCCACCTTAGGCTCTGTGCTGACAGCTCAGAGCCTGGAGCCTGTTTCAGATTCTGTGTCTCCTCCTGTCTCTCCCCTCCCATGATCGTGCTGTGTCTCTCAATGATAAATAAATGTTCAAAAAATAATTTAAAAATTAAATAAAATAAAAATCAAAATTCTAACAAAGCACTTTTTAAAAAAGTGTGGTGTTTTTTTTTTTTTTAAAAGTTTATTTATTTATTTATTTTATTTTTTAGTAATCTCTATACCCAGTGTAGGGCTAGACTCCTGAAAGAGTCTCATACTTTTCTGACAGTCAGCCAGCACCCCCCTGCCCCACCCAAAGCGCTATTTAATAACTGATTTTAATATTAGGTATTGTAATGAGTTTTTAATACAATTTAGGAAGCTGGGAAATAAATTCAGTAGGCCATTCTTTATTTTTGCTTCTGAGAGCTTTTTAGAACAGTATTCTTTAAGAATAGGATGGTATCTCTAAACCCTAGGATGTTACATAAAATACTGTTATATGTATCTTCCGGGGATTTTTCTAAGAGCCACTGCTTTTAGAAGAAAAGTCTCATGATTTCTTTGAAAACTGTGATTTTTAAAAATTCATTTTATTTGTGTGTTCACCCTTTAACAGAAAACTGGTGGTCAGTGCTTGAGCCTCCACTGTTCCTCAAGATTGTAGAACTTTTTAAGGAAGTTGTGGTACATCTTTTGAAACTCTACAAGATCGGCATTCCGCCTTCTGAAAGAAGAATTTTCAACAGTTTTCTTCATACTGCATTAAAGGTTTTAGAAATACTGCATAGGGTATGTCCAGTAGTCCCTCTATTTTCCTCTTTTTCATTGCTACTGGCAGATTCATATTTATTTTAACATTAATATTACAGATTTAGGTTAGCCTAAGAGATGTATATTACAGAAATTTAGAAAAGTTAACTAAATTTTTCTTGAATACATACTTTGGAGCTTTGGTCTTACTTGACTTTGTTAGGCATTTGTAGATAGCTTGACTGTAGTTGGGCAGAACAATAGCATACTAATGAATTAGAATCCACCTTACATTTTCTTGTGAAGAGCATAATTTGTTAGTTTAAATATAATTTTTGTTATTTATAGTGGTTATCATATGAGAGAGACTGAATCCTAGTTATGAACATTTAAACTCGAGTTTTTGCTATTGGATATTAATGGCTTCATCAAAGTAGAACATTCCATTTGAAATAAATAGGCTAACTTGAAATTGGAACCATGTATAATTCATTAATTTGCTTATTGTTCTTTCCTGCCCTTCTTCCCAGTGTAAGAAATAGTACCCTTTACACTTGTAGCAGTTCAAAGTTTTACGAAGAAGTAGAGGCTCAGCTGTTTCATTAAAGATGGATTTGAGACATCCCTGACAGCTGGTAGGTATATCTCTGTTATGCCATTTGGTATTCTTGAGGAGCTATTTTGGGAGACATGACCTAAGGGAGAAGCATATTTCTTATCTCTAGAATGACTGAAAAACCCATACGAACCTTTAATATTTAGTTTCCTCTCCTTCTTCTGTAGTGTTTTCAGACCCTTCTTGCCTAGCACTGAGGTAAATGTTAAGAGACAAAAGAGATAGTCCTGTTCTAAGAAAGAACTTGTGTGGACCGTTTGCTTTTCTTTTTTATTCTTTTAGTTCTGAGTATTTCGTCAGCTAAACTTCTTGAACTTCATTTTTTTTCTTTTGTATTTAGTATGTTCATTCAAGATTCCTAGTAAAATAGTCATTTCTTTTATTACAATTGAAGAGATTATTGTCATTTCTTTCCATGGGAAAGTCATTCTTGTATTTGCCTTTCCCAGAAGACTTTCTTCTAGCAGGACAGAGTTAATTGGATTATGCAGTAAACTGCTATTAAAGAAGATCCTTTGTCTTCATAGGATAAATCTCTACTTTTCTGTATGCCTTATGTCTAGGATTCAAGAGATTAGTTATGTTTTTCCTTTTCCTATTCAGTGAACGATCCTTTGTTCATTAGCTGGACCCTATTCCCAAATAATTATTCATCTTTCCCTTCTTTATCTGGTTATCTTTATTACCTCTTAAAAAAAATAATTTTTTTCCTTAGCTGTGTCTTTTACAAGTTATAGGGAGGGTGGAAGAAGGAGAGGAAATAGAAATTTATGTTCTTTGTAAATAAAGACAGAACTTAAGTAACTTAAGCTCTTTTTAAAAAAAATTTTTTTTAATTGTTTATTTATTTTTGAGAGACAAAGAGCACAAGCAGAGGAGGAGCAGAGAGAGTGGGAAACACAGAATCTGAAGCAGGCTCCAGGCTCTGAGCGGTCAGCACAGAGCCTAAAGCGGGGCTTGTACCCACCAACCCCGAGATCATGACCTGAGCCCAAGTTGGACACTTAACCGACTGAACCACCCTGGCGGCCCCTCAAGTAACTTAAGTTCTATTTGTAGCTCAGAAGCCTCAACTTGTACTGAGGAAGAACATTATGGGGCTCCATCTCTAGAGGTCTTTTTGAATTAAAAATTTTTTAATGTTTGATTTTGAGAGAAAGAGAGAGGAGAGGTATGAGAGAGAGAGAGGGAGACATCGAATCCAAAGCAGGCTCTAGACTCAGCACAGAGTTGGCACGGGGCTCAAACTACGAACTGTGAGATCATGACCTGAACCAAAGTTGAATGCCTGCCTAACTAACTGAGCCACCAAGGTGCCCCTCCAGAGTCCTTTTTGATGGAGCAATGCTAGATGGTAGGTTCCTACATTCTTGCCAGCTAAAAGGGAAGGGAAAATAATTTTAACAGTGGCCAGAATTAGTGCCTCCTTGTACATTAATTCATGTAAGCACTTTACATATATTCTTCATTTAATCTTTTAAACTTTGTATAGTTTATGTTTTGCCCCTTAATCTAAATGTCAAGGATCATAAACCAGTAAGTAGCAAAGTTGAAATATAAATCCAGTCTACTTCCAAACTCCCTGCTGTTTCCCTTTCTCTTCTCTTCTCTTCTCTTCTCTTCTCTTCTCTTCTCTTCTCTTCTCTTCTCTTCTCTTCTCTTCTCTTCTCTTCTCTTCTCTTCTCTTTCTTCCCTCCCTCCCTCTTTCTGTTTTTTTTTGTCTATCTGTATTTCCCTGCTGTTTCTAATGTACTACTCTATCAGCAGGTATAGTAGTATATTTGAAAGGGGGTTTGCTTTTATTTTATGCCCCGAGATCTAGAGGTTCATACTTCTGTAATTGCAGATAGCATTGTATTGGTAAGAGACCATTTTTGCTGCTTCCTGTATGATTTTGAACAAGTCTTTCTCTTTATCTTACATGCAAATGGAGAATGGTCTATAAAATAAGGATTAAAATACTGGCCTGATAGTTTCCCAGGATGAATATATTGTTTAAATTATACAATATATAATGAATTTTGCATTCATAAGGCACTGATTTTGTTGTTACCACTACCAAATTTTGGATGGGAAACAGCTACTTTTGATTTGATTTATTGGGTTATATGGAAACTGGGTTGTTTGAAGTTGTTTACATACTCAAGCCAGGGTGGTGATGGTATTACTGTCTTAAGCATCTCTTAGTGAGCGTCCTTAGGGCAGTCACTTATCTTTCTTCTACTCCTTACTTTGGAGAAAACTTTCCTTGGTCCTAATGTGCCATAAATAGATACTTGTGGATATTAACTGTCGGGGATGATTCATTTTCATCTTTAGTGAAACCCAAGTTACTTACCAGAAATTTGTTTTTTCAAAGACACCTTCTGTGTGACAACTAAATTTCCCTGCTTTCTGTTCAATGGTTGAGAATTAGAAGTTTCCTCAAACAGTTGCCTTCTTGACATACAGTGGATCAGGATTAGAAAGAGAACTGGACTGTGTGTTTACTAATCATTTCAGGCTATATGGATGACTTGTTCCTCCCTTATGTCATGTCCCTTGGAAAGCTTTTAAATTAAAAATCATTCCCAGTGTTCCAAATGGTATTATAAGAAAGATAGCTTTGGTACCTGCTGTCAGGAATGCGTATATTACCAGATAAATGACACAGTACATTGTAGAGATACTGATTTGCCTAAAGAGGAGACTGACTTAGTCTCTCTAGCCTAGTTGCTACGTATCATGCCAGTCTTCTAAATCCATGATTTTTGTAAGGAATCCTTAAATAAACCAAAGATATAAGGCACATGTATATACTTAATATATACCACCTCTGAACTGAGGCTTATAAACCAGAATACTAAACTGTAATGAAAATGTGAAATAAAAATGATCAAACATATCTAGGTTTTATTTTGTATATTTTAGGCAATAATACTGAATGTATTGGTTTTAAACTTGTATCGTGATTTCTTTTGTATTCGTTTCACAAATATTTACTGAGTGCCTACTATGTGCTTATCATTGCCTACTATGTGTCTATCATTGTATTAGACATTAGGGATACAGTGATACTCAAGAGATGTGATTTCTGCCCTTGTTTAGATTATAAATGTAGAGCAGTTTATATACATACAAATAAACATTTGATACAGCATGATAAGTGCTAGATTAAGGAAAATTAAGGGTGCTATGAGAACAGATAAGAGACCTTGTAATACTGAAGAATTAAGGAAGGTTTACTGGAGAAAATGTCAATCTTATCTATCATACAAATGTATTTATATATATTACACATATATTTTTTAATGTTTATGTGTTTATTTTGAGAGAGAAAGAATGCAAGCAAGGAAGGGACAGAGAGAGAGAAGCCCAAGCAGGCTCCATGCTGTTAGCGTGGGGCGCAGTCTCCCGAACGGTGAGCTCATGACTTGAGCAGAAATCAAGAGTCGGACACTTAACTGACTGAGCCACCTAGGCACTCCTGTATCTTTATATATATTTTTTAAACTGTTGATTTTATATGTAAATCATTTATATTTATGCAGGTCTTTTGGATTAGTCTTCTTGTTCAGTGTTTAATTTCCCTGTTTTTAAAAATAGTATTAACTGATTTTCTGATAAGTTGTTAAATCATTGTGACTGAATTAGCTATCTGCCATAATTTCTTCCCAAGTATATTTTTGACTGAAATTTGTTTCTAAACCAAACCTGGTTTTTGAATTGTTAATTTTCATTCTAACGTAGTACTTCTTTTCATAAACATGTATCACAGGATATACAAACTGCAAACATTGGTTGCTATTGGTGAAGAAAACTAGTTTGCCTTCTAAAATACTTGATTTGAGTCCTATGTTGGGCTCTGTGCTGACACGTTGAAGCCTGGAGCCTGTTTCAGATTCTGTGTCTCTTTCTCTCTCTGCCCCTCCCCAGCTTGCACTCTGTCTCTCTCTTTCTCTCTCTCTCAAAAATAAACATTAAAAACCTTTTTATTTTAAATAAAATCTAAAATATTTAAAATTTAAAAATAACAAAATAAAATATTTAAAGAAAAACTTCAGAGGTCAGCGAGATGTGAATCATTTTGTATGGAACTCGCTAAATTTTGGAGTCTAGCGTAATTAAAAGTTGGTGCATAGGGGTGCCTGGGTGAGTTGGTTAAGCATCTGACTTTGGCTCAGGACAAGATTTCATGGTTCGTGAGTTCTAGCCCTGCATCCAGCTCTCTGCTGTCAGCGTGGAGGTAGTTTCAGATCCTCCCTACCCCCTTTCTGCATGCGCCCTGTTGCTAGCGCATGCTTTCTCTCTCAAAAATAAATAAACATTTTTTTAAAAAAGGTTGGGGTGTATATTTGTAAACATAAATATTAGAGAAGGAAAAGCCAAAGAGATTTTTTATAATTATTGTGTATGTTTTTTAGTAGAAAAAGTTTAGACAAGA